TTTGGGTGCTTGTGCTTTTAATGTCATATCTAAGAAGGCATTGCCTAATCTAAGGTCATGAAAGGTCATGAAAATTTTCATCTATATTTTCTTCTAAGAGTTTTATAGTTTTAGAATTTACATTTAGTTCTTTGGTCAATTTTTGTTTTTTTTTTGTGAGGGAGATCAGCCTTGAGCTAACATTTGTGCTAATCCTCCTCTTTTTGCTGAGGAAGACCAGCTCTGAGCTAACATCTATTGTCAATCCTCCTCCTTTTTTTCCCCAAAGCCCCAGTAGATAGTTGTACATCATAGTTGCACATCCTTCTAGTTGCTGTATGTGGGACGCAGCCTCAGCATGGCCAGAAAAGCGGTGCCTCGGTGCGCGCCCGGGGTCCGAACCCAGGCCGCCAGTAGCAGAGCACGCACACTTAACCGCTAAGCCACGGGGCCGGCCCTCTTTGGTCAATTTTGAGTTAATTTTTGTATATGGTGTGAGGTAAGCCTCCAATTTCCCTTTCTTCCTTTTGGATATCCAGTTGACTCATGGTCCAAGGATCTTAAGCAGTTTCAGTTCCCAGGGAAAGAAAACACCCTTAGTTATTTTGGGTATTTACTGTTTTTAACTGCTAGCACTTGGGCTGGAGGAGGAGCTCAGCGACCTGCTTCTGAGAACATCTGTATAAGTTCATGGGCGTGTCAGTGAGCTTCCTCTCTTTGTGTAGACCGGATCCTGGTGACAGCAGGGTGATTGCCGCCATACTACTTGTAAACGAGCAGGTGGCCTGTTGCCTGTCCAAGCTACCTTTCCTCAGGAAATGAGAGCTTTCCTTGGAGAAGGATCCAGTTTGCAGAAAAGCTTGGGGCACCTGTGTGCACATGCTCTGAATGTGTGCTCTAACTCTCCGTCCTTGTGTGAAAAGCACACACAGGGATGAGATGAGTGGTGCTGAGTTGTGTGTGCTTGCCTCAGGAGATCTCAGCCTCTCCCAGAGAAGGCCAAAGCTGGGTGTGTGTAAAGGACTCTTTCCTCCTTTCTGTCCCTTGGATGGTACAGTGAAATCACAGAGAAAATAAGGTTTCAAATCTCATCACAAAGCCCAATGCCCACAATCTAATTGGACGGAAAATAACACATATTGAAGTTGGGTGCACTCTTTGACGATAAACATGGATTAAGAGCCAACCTGTGGCTGGACCTTAGGGGAAAGAATTTGTTTCTAGAGAAGAGCCTTTTTTGAAGTCATAAGTTTGCTTGCAAGTTTGATATGATTCTTCTGCTGTGAATGCTCTGAGATTTTTTTTTCTTTGTAAAGAGATTGGTTTGAAATACCAGGGTGGCCAAAAGAGAAGGGATGCTTTTGGAAGATAATTTTGAAGAAGGTGGTAACAACGCCATAAAGAACTAGCAAATAAGGCCATAAAAGTTCTCCTATTTTTATTGGTTGATTGTAGAGGCAACTAGGTCCTCATGTGGATCTAAAATAAGGGGTCTCAAAGATCCGCAGGAGGAAGGAAAACAAGAAACCAAGCCAAATCTCTTAATGCTGTGCTAACTGTTCAGACAAAATCTCTCCCGGCTGAAAGAAAGCTGTAAATCATATGCTGTAACTTATATAGATATTTAAATAGATTTAAAAGCTCATTGTCCTGAGGACAAACCTTACGCTGGTTTTTCACTTGGAAAAGGTGCTTTCCAAATAGAAAAAAAAAATTATTCAATTAGTTATAGAACCTGTAGATGACCATAACAAAATGGAGTAACACATGTCAAGGCTTCTAAAATGGAGCCGGGAGGCCATTTTAGGGAAGTGGGGCTCACGCACATCTCCATCCAAAGGGAATGTCACCTTTGAACTGTGCTTCACTGCTGTCATCTTGACCTTCTTCCAAGAAATATGCTTACTCCTATAGATAAGAACTTTCTGCCTTAGACAGGGCCTTTGCAACCAATCACTTACAGGCAAGAAGTAATGGTTGTTGCCAGCACCAATCACAAATCTTGCAAAACAACCTATGTAATTTATCTTTTTTTGCCTTGATAAACCCTTGTCTCCTTCGTCTTCCTAGGAGCATATTTGAGCTTCTACTTGAATCTGTGTCTCCCAAATTGCAATTCTTGAGACCCCAAATAAACTTTTTGCTTCTTTTGCAGTTGATGCCTCTTATTCATTAACAAACCTTTGATTAAAAAGTAGGTAAAATGGGGGCCAGCCCTGTGGCCTAGTTGTTAAGTTTGGCGCGCTGAGCTTCAGTGGCCTGGGTTTGGTTCGCAGGTGCGGACTTACACCGCTCATCGGTGGCCATGCTGTGGCAGCGACCCATGTGCAAAACAGAGGAAAAGTGGCACAGATGTTAGCTCAGGGTGAATCTTCCTCAAGCAAAAAAAAAAGTAAGTCAAACACTCAAGACTAAAAAATGTATAAATAACTACAAAAACTACTAAGTTATCAATAAAAGTTTAAACAGTATTCTTTTTTTGTAATATAAACCCTTTCTCTCTTTAAAGCATTTTTGGATGAGAAAAAGAAAAAAATGTAACTCTAGTTTAATGATTTTGGAATTCTTTCTTCTAATTTACAAGATAAGAAAAAAATCAAATTTGTATTAGGCCAATACTTAGTAATCACAAAATGGTTGAAAGAAACCCTCTGTATTGTCTTTAAAAGGATATTACTATTACTTAGTAAAATAAAGACAGAATAATTATATTTTTAATCCCAATTCACTTAATATTCTTTTTTGTTTGCTGAGGAAGATTTGCCCTGAGCTAATATCTGTGCGAATCTTCCTCTATTTTGTATGTGGGTTGCCGCCATAGCATGGTTGACGAGTGGTGTAGGACTGCATCTGGGATACGAACCCATGAACCCAGGCCACCAAAGCAGAGCGCTCGAACTTCAGCACTGGACCACGAGGCCGGCCCCTTAATATTCTTAATCAAGGTAAACGCTTGGACAAATTAAACTGTTCTGAGAATTTTATCTTAAAATAATTATAGGCTTTTCTCCACGGTTTTAGGGCAGCATGGAATGTAAATGCAAGCATAACAGTTTAGTTTACGTAAGACTTTGCATTTATTTTCTTACTAAAAGGCATGAATAGAGCCTCCCAAATTCCTTTCACTTGTCTTACTGTTAGATATGGGTGTTCAACCAAATTGAGATATGATAATTAAAGTATAAAGTTATTTCTCATAAATGTCAGACAATACTGCAAACTATGTGAATCTGCCAATTACTGCACTACATAATCTGAGTGAAATTTTAGCCTCCTTTGCCCGGAGTCGCACGTTTTAGTTCCAAGAACAGCTGGTCGCCATGCACAAGAAAATGACCTTAACTCCCTCTTGGAGGCTGGTTCTTTCCCTTCCCTTTACCGCTGTGGAACTCTCTGCCTGTGTAGAAACGATAGAACACCCACTCGTCGGCCTTGCCTGGGAACCCTCACTGCACATACAGCAGGACCTGACTGTGGTTTCACCCCTCAGATATGTGTCCTCGTCCAAAATCCAAAATGTTTTCCCTTTTCCCGAGACCTCTCTGATTGACCACACTGTCATCTCGGTGCTTCTGCTCTGTAACCTCTCCAAATCCTTCTTGGAACGAAGCAGCCAACACATTTGCTCAAGAATCCAGGCCAGGAGCCCTGCGTGCAGCACCTTCCTGCTGCGCTCAGCATCCTCAATATTGGTACTCGTGTACCAACTGACTGTTCTGCAGGCTCCTGTGGTCTGTGACCTGTGACCTGCGACCTGCGACCTGCAACTGCCAACCCTTTTCTAGCAGACTTCACAGAGGCACCCTAGACCCAGCCTTCTGCACCCTGTGCCGTCTCTTCCAGGAATCATGGGAGGTGAACTTAGCCAATATGTTTGGCAAAGAAGCAGCTCAAGCCTTGCAGAGGCATGTCCAGGGAACATTTCCAGGACACTTTGAAGCTTTCACAGTTTCAAACCAGATCTTTTGATTCCTCAGAGGAATCTTGAATACATTTTGAACTTTTTCTGGATATCAAGCTCCTTAAAGAGAGAATTTAATAGTGCTTCCTGAAGCATGGAACAATTAATTTACCTCGACTACTAGACTCGGAGACTCCCCTAACTAAACTACGTGTTCCTTGATTCACATTTTTTTGTTTGTTTTCCTGGCATGTAGTGGCATGTTGAATAAGTGAACAAATCAACCACCTAGCAAAGCATTTTTGCAAATTTCGGGTCACAGATAAAAGAGCTCAGCTCTTCTCAAGCTCAATGCAGCAAGAATACATGTAATGCTAAGACACATCAACCTTCTAATTCTCGGTTTGCTGCCCTTTTGAGTTCTGGTCTTCTGTGAAATAATGGATTCGGTCTGTTTGTGCTTCTGGAGGCAGAAAGGGGCTGACACCCACTCAATAATTCCCAGGAAGACTTCCCTTTACTGCATGACGTGAATCTGCCCGCTCCCTTCTCAGCGGGTTCTGACGTGCTTTTATGAATCATTTAATTGGTGCCTCTCCTTAAACCCAGTTCACAGCACCTTTCATAGTTCTCTTTCTCAAATTAGTCCCCAAATAAAAAGACACATCCCTGAGAAAGTGAAGCAATAAGTTCACTTATTATCCTGCCTCAAAACTTCACAACAGCCACAGGAAATCTTACGTTGCAAAGCTGACTCCCATCCCTCCCTCCCTCGCTACAATTTCAGCCCAGTATATCTTGCTCTGTCCTGAGCAGATCATAGGAGCGATGCCCTTGAAAGGATGCTCACACACCTCATCTCACCAGCATAACGCTGGAATGAGTTTTCCTTTGAGGGGCTGCTTCTCACAGGTCTGATTTGCAACCCTTTTACATGCACCATCCAGGCTTTAATTTTCTCTTCACGTACTGCCTACTCAGAAGGTTGAAGATGATCAGTGGCTGCCAAGTCACTGGAGAAGAGGGAAAAAGAGGGCTTAATTCTTAATTCTGCTCCTAGCACTCTCCAGGAGGCTGACCATCTGCTGGCCCAGAGGCTGGCCTCTAAGAGGTCACTTACCTGCAGCTTGTCCCGCTGTCTTGTGTGGGACATGAGAAGGTCTTCAGCAGATGGCACACTTCTGGGCAGCTCTGTCGTGGCCAGGCAGGCCCCAAATGTCTGGAGCATCTGGGCAGTGGTCTTCAATGTCATGGCAAAGTTTTCGATGGCCTGGAAGAGCAGACAATCATAACAATGCGAAGGGATTAACATTCACCAATATGCTCTCTCAATAGAAGGACAGTAAAACTAGCTACCATTTCCTCAGTACCCACAATGGGCATGCATTGTACTCTGTGCTATACGCTTGTCTATCATCTCAATAATCTGGAGCAGGAGGTATTTTATCTCCATTTTATGAAAGAAGGAACAGAAGCTCCAACAAGTCAGGTGAAATTGCCCAAGATCATATAACTTGGGCAGTAAGGAAGGCGGGCAGGCAGGATTCAACCAAAGTCAGGTGCTTCAAATTCAAGGTTCTGTTCATTACCCCAAGAACACCTAACATGAAATCTGACTCAGGATTTCTACTAGGTGATATGCTAAAAAGGGCAGGACCACCCACCCCTCCTTCTAATAAACCTTTCCTCCTCTTCTAGCCCCTACACTGCCCTGTATCTCCCCGCGCCGCCCCCCACACACAGCCTGGCTGCCTGACACCTCTGAGAAGCTCGTCAAATGCTGCTGAGAGGATATGACATTGAGGGAAAAGACGGATGTAGCGATTATGTCACTAATCATCTTCACTTCTGTAACATGTGGGTAGGGCCTGGGAACCTCTTCCTCTCACTTCTTTATAAAAATTTACCTGTCCTGTGTCCCTTCCACTAAGGACTCTACTTTGCCATTAAATGAATATCTGCTAGTGAGTAGATTGACTTTGCAGCTAACATCCCAGGTGAGATATCTGCATTTTAGCAGAGAGCTTTAGGAATTCGTGGCCTAACCTAGAAAAAGTGACACTGACCATCAGAAGAGTTAGTTGAAGGTGAGTGGCTTTTCAGAGTCCCACAAATCATTCCACTCAGCCAGAATGGCACTGCCACGCCCACTTCCCTCTGCTCCTCAGATAATTTTGCCCCTGAAGGGCAAACACAATGTCACATTCATCTCTGTTCCCCCAGGGCATGGTACTGTGCCTGTCACATAGTAGGTGGCCCATAAACAGCTGCTGAATGGGTGAATGGTAGGAACAAAGAGACCCAACCTAATTTTCATTTGGGAAAAAGTTACTTCTTTTCCTACATCATCAAAGAACATTTCTGTAAACCCAAACCCACAACATATGGAATGTGCCAGATCTGAGATGGCTCTTCTCTATGCCAGGGGCCAGGGCTGAGGTTGGCATAATAAGGCTTCCAGAGCATGGCACATCTCCTCCTACTGTCTGGACTCTGAGTCTTCTCTACATCAACCATTTTCCTACTTGAAGTATTGCTGTAGGTGAAATCTCTCCTATTAGCACAAGTATTTATACACCCACCATCTTGAACATCATAGTACTTTTGGCCTGGAAAGTCAGACAAACACTAACTGTTATGAAAATCTTTCTTTCAAGTACATCAAAATGTAATTATTTTCACATAATCTAACATCTGTATAAAATACTCTTTCAACTGCATTCACTAACAGCCTATGATGAATAACATAAAAAATCCAATTCATCTGGGGAATTATAACAAGAAAATATGAGATTATTAAGTACTTTGCTTTATAGGCACCAACTCTGGTAATGCATCTCAATTAGGTATTATTCTTATCACCACCCCACATCTATAGATGAGGAAACTGAGGCACATTGAGGTTAAGTAATTACCCTAAAGTCACACAAAAAATAAGTGGCTGAACTGGACCTGAACCCCAGTAAGCTGGCTCCAGGGCTGGCACTCTAAGCACTAAGCTACAGCGCCTCTTGGCAGTCAAAACTAGACTTAAAAGACTAGATTTACAGCTAGATTAACAAAAGACTTTGGCCTTGAGAGCTGAAGATTTGAACTCGAGTCCAGATTCTGATCCTCTCTAACTGTGTAATCTCGGGTGAGCCATGTAATGCCTTTAAGTCCCAGTGTCCTCGTTTGACAAAGAGGGATAATGCTTGCTCTGTTTTTGCAGGGTTTTTTTTTTTTCGAGGATTGAAGGAATAACAAATGTGAAAGGATCTTGGGTAAAGTAGAGTACCTTATAAGTGTAATAACAGTAAGAACTAAGAGAATCAGGTGTGAGTTCTAAAAATCGAGGAAAGCCAGAGGTTTCCTGTGGTGGGTCCTATTAACAAATTAACTTGATTCTATATGTCTGATTAGTGAATAATCACCTTGGAAATGGTACAGGGGACCTGACCCTGAGAGGGTGATGAAAAAGAGCTTGGCCTTAGTCTTGGCTCTGCCACTACTTGACCATATGACCTTGGATAAGTCACCTCCTTACTCTGAAGGTTAGTTTCCTTATCTGCAAAATAAGGTGACTGAAATAAATGATCTGTAAGGTTCTTTTCAGTTCTAACTTTTTATGAGTCTCAAAGATCTGACATCCTGAAAGCACACTGTTACCAAAAAAAGGGGGGTCTATGTATTCATGAGATATAAAATAATATGTATATGTATTATTATATTTCTAATTATATATGTGTGTGTATATAAAACATATACGTAAAACATGCAAAAGCCATGTAAAGAATATCTCTGATGTTTCAATAAACAGTATTTTTTAAAGTTCACTATGTTTAACACAAACACAAACCATGGATACATACTAGGCCTGGGGGAATGTGTGTGCATGTCTGTTCACGCCATGTCTTTAAAATAATCAATCTTCATGACCTCAGTCTTCTTTACATCTCTAAGTTCTTAGAGAACTATTAATAAACATAATTAAGAACATAATAAAATAAAGGATTGGTAGAAAAATCAGAGCAAAGGAGAGAGCTGGCTAGCCCAGTAAGGCTGGTGGGATAATCAATTCTTTTGATTATTAAAGTAACGTAATAAAAATCTAAGAAGTGAAGAAATAAAAACTAGAAGCACTCAGGTTCCACATCTTACACGATTTAATGAAATTGCTTTCTGGGACCACCCTCATCACACTTACTTGTGTATGATATTCTGTGTCAGCTTCCTTGCATCTCTTTTATATTTAGGCTTATTTAAAATTATATGTTTGTGAAGAACTTCACCATTCTTTTTTTTTTTTTTTTTTGGTGAGGAAGATTAGCCCTGAGCTAATATCCGTTGCCAATCATCCTCTTTTTGCTGAGGAAGATTGGCCCTGGGCTAACATCTGTGCCCATCTTCCTTCTACTTTATATGTGGGATGCCTGCCACAGCATGGCTCAATAAGCAGTGTGTAGGTCTGTGCCCGGAATTCGAACTTGCAAACCCCTGGCCTCCAAAGCAGAATGTGCGAACTTAACCACTATGCCTCTAGGCCGGCCCCTCACCATTCTTTTTTGTTTATAAGATTCTCTCAGAGTCATCATTATTGTGGTAAAACTGATAAGAAGTTTAAAAGGTTCTTGTGCAGGTCACAGACCTTCCTCTAGGTTTTAGGAAGGGACGTGCCTTCCTTGGAATTACATGGCATACAAAGAAGTGAGAGAGGGATGAGAATCTATAGCTTTGAAATAAATGCATTGTGTTGCTAGAAATTTATTTTTTTTTAATTCTTAAATTTTCTTTTTTTTTTAAATCACAAAACATAGCACTCTAAAACAGGGTGAATTCTCCTACCTAATTAAATGCAGTTCAGGGCTTCATCGGGAAATGTTGGGCAACATGTTTCCAAAGTGACCAGATACAGAGAGGTGCGCTGACACCACAAGTGTCATCAGGGTGGTAAAGGGAGATTCTGATCTTGCTCTGAAAACCTAACTTTTTCTAGGGTATAGGGGCTGAGAGAGCAGGGAAAGGGGAATGACGACTTTATATAGAAATACTTATTACTTGATGAGTTTCAATCTTACTTTTTCCTCAATATTACTGACCCTTCTAGTTTAGCATAATAACCACCAACATGAGTAAGTAGGAAAAAGTAAAATACTACATATCAGGTGCTTTCACAGACATTATATCACTTATTCCCCACATCAAACTTTCAGGGAGCTTTTGTTAGTCCAAGGTTTCTCACCATTGGTACTACTGATATTTTGGGCCAGATAGTTCTTTGTTGTAGGGGGCTGTCTTGTGCCTTATAAGATGTTTAGCAGCATCCCTGGCCCTACCTACTAGATGCCCCTAACATTCTTCCCCCAAGTTATGACTATAAGAAACGTCTGTCTAAAGACATTGACAAATGTCCTCTGGGGGGCAAAATTGTCCCCAGCTGAGAATCATGCATTAGTCCCATTTTAACAGGGGAGGAAACAAGCTCAGAGAGGTTTAGATACTCAACCAAGGTCAGACAATAAGTAATGGTGACAATGTTTAAATGCAGCATCTTCTGACTTGGTGTCTGTACATTAGAATCATCTGGGGAGTTTTGTGAAACACTAATGTCTGAGACCCGTCCCAGATCAAGTAAATTAATTTCTCTGAGGTATAGAAGGGTATTGGTATTTTGAAAACTCCCCAGGTGCACTCTAAGTCAAGTCTGCCAAACCCCCCATGCCAGAAGATGAGGTGAGGCGAAGGCAGTCAGCAGGAGAAGCCCCAGCCTTCACCTTCCACCCTACTTCTCCCCAATCTGTGGCTTAGAAAACCCAACCTTCCTGATGGTAGGTAGTCACGGAAATGACCACCCAACAGTTGATCTTTAATTCCCCTGTCTTCTGGAAAACAAGGAGAGACACTGAAAAGGGCGCATAAGTTGGTACTTACAGTTCGATGATTTATCCACTGACTGTGGCGATATTTCAAAGTTCCCCCTAAGTCCTCTGTCAATTGGCTTTTCTCAATGTAGCCATGAAGGTCAGAGACAGAGTTTAACATAACGATCTGTAAGAGAAAAAAACTAATGTATTCCTCACAGGTAATTAAGTAGTAGCTCATCCAGATTCTACTGTTATGTAAACAGTACTTTAGCTTTGCCTGATCAGGCATTTATACCCCAAACGGTTACTCCATTCAACAGAGAAACATTTTAAGTCCCTTTCCATTTTCCCCCTTTGAGCGAGAAATGCCAAAGTGTTGAATAGTCTGTGACAAAGTGGTGACTTGAGTCAGGGAGCTCAGTTCTAAGCTACCTAGAAGTCAGGTCTTACTTGAGATGAATTTTTGTCAACAGCTTCCAGGCTAAAGTATACTTTTCAGCCACCAAAATCAAGTGCCGTACTGAGACCTAAAAATCTGTGATGAGAAGCCCAATAAAGGGTGGGCTGGTGAATATAAAAATAAAATTAGAATACAGGGACCTACTGAGGAGTATGTATTGAAAAGATTCACTACACTGATGGATCCCCCCATGAAGAATGTTGCTGCGCCCCAATTTATCTTGCATGGAGGAGATTTGGAGGTAATAGGGAGTGGGTTTTTATAAATTAACATTCCTGCTGATGAACACACCCATGCTGATGAACGAACACTGACACCCCTAGCAGAAGATGATACGTTCCAAATTGCACCTTTCCACTGCTCTGCAGCGGTCCTGACCAGGGTGTGGTCCTGGCTCTCTGTCCCAGGGACTGTGTCACGTCCCCTACTCACTCCTAACCAGGAGTAAGAACTCCTCCCTCCTATCTCTGAAAGGCATCCCCCTTGAAGCTTTTAACTACTGACCTTGTATTTCTTCACTCCTTGTTAATGATTTTCAAAATTGATTCTTGTTCAGAGGACATAAGAACATAGGCTTTATTCTATTATTATATAGTACTAGTCAAGTGACAAATCCACTTTGGAATGAAAAGAATATAAGTTAGGGCCCAAAGTCTATAAGTGAAAACAAAATTGACTTATTCATTCAATAAATATATATTGAACTTCTAATAAATGCCTGGCTCTGGGGAATAAAACAGTGTGCATGACAGTCCCCACATTTGAGGAACTTAGGTTTAGTGGGATTTGATTACTACAAAACACTATGTCAACCTTGTCAGGCCCCAGGCCTTTCTCCTTCATTTCTGAAAAGGAGTTTGGGAATTTTAAAAATTATTTTTATAACGTGAGAGAAAGAAAAAAACCTGAATCCATCTATGCCTTTCCTTCCTAACAATTTTAAACCACTTTTGGGAGTTTCAAAAAGATTTTTAGTCTTTCTAAAATTAGAAATTATATAGGACAGATAACAAGAAATTATCAAGTTAAAAATATATTTTGCTTCTCAGAACATTAGTTGCTATGGTAACACTTGGACTCTGTTTTATTTTTTTTTATAATTTTATTTATTTATTTTTCCCCCAAAGCCCCAGTAGATAGTTGTATGTCACAGTTGCACATCCTTCTAGTTGCTGTATGTGGGACGCGGCCTCAGCATGGCCGGAGAAGCGGTGCGTCGGTGCGCGCCCGGGATCCGAACCCGGCCGCCAGCAGCGGAGCGCGTGCACTTAACCACTAAGCCACGGGGCCGGCCCATTGGATTCTGTTTTAAATACCAGCATGGAACTTTGTATTAGGCATAAGTAACTTTGCCCCACAGCCTGGAGTTATAGAAACCTCTCCTGCCAGGCGGCATGTCTTCTGTCCCACTTAACTGAACAGGAGAGGGAGGTGTGTGCTCCCACACTTGTCAGGACTCTGCTTTCTCATCTTTAGATTAAGAGGACCTACAGAAATTTTAAATTGAAAGCTAAAAGTGAACGTCAGAAACAAAAGGATAACAGATAAAAGATAACAGAAGATTCAATACTGTTAAGTATTAATCTGTAGATTCAAAGCAATGCCAATCAAAATCCTTGCAGGCTTTTTATAGAAATTGACAAGCTGATTCTAAAATTCATGTGGAAATGCCAAGTACATATAATAGGTAAAATAATTTTGAAAAAGAATAAAGTTGGATGACTCACACTACCTGATGTCAAGACTTACAAACTACAGTAATGGGGCCGGCCCCGTGGCGTAGTAGTTAAATGCGCGCGCTCCGCTGCTGGCGGCCCGGGGTTCGGATCCTGGGCGCGCACCAAAGCACCGCTTGCCAGGCCTTGCTGTGGCGGCGTCCCACATAAAGTGGAGGAAGATGGGCACGGATTTTAGGCCAGGGCCAGTCTTCCTCAGCAAAAAGAGGAGGATTGGCAAGGATGTTAGCTCAGCGCTGATCTTCCTCACAAAAATAAAAAAAACACTACAGTAATGAAGAGTGTGGTAATGACAAAGGGTAGACAAACAGATCAATGGAACAGAATAGAGACTCCTGAAATAGACTCATACAAATATGGTCAATTGATTTATAACTTTTTATTTTGAAGTGATTATAGATACACAGGAAATTACAAAGATAGGGCAGAGAGGTCCCATGTACCTTTCACCTAGTCCTCTCTCAATGGTTACATCTTACATAATTATAGTACAATATCAAAACCAGGAATTTGATATTGGTGTAACGTGTGTGTATAGTTCCATGTCATTTTCTCCCATGTGTAGATTCACATAACCACCAGTACAATCAAGAGGCAGAACTATTCCATCACCACAAAGAGCTCCCTTGTGTTACCCTGTATAGTCACACCCATCCCCCCTCCCACCATCCCTGAGCCCTGGCCAACACTAATCTGACTTTTGACAAAGGTATAAAGTTCATTCAATGCAGAAGTAATTCCATTTTCAACAAATGGTGCTGAAACAACTGGGCATCCATATGCAAAAAAAGGAAACTTGACCTCACCTTATCCCAAAATTAACTTAAAATGGATCACAGATCTAAACGTAAAACATAAAACTTGGAGAAGAAAATATAAGAGAAAAATCTTAGGAGAAAATTTTGGGTTACGCAAAGAGTTTTGAGATACAATACCAAAAGCACAACTCAAAAGAAAAATTGAAAAACTAGATTTCACCCAAATTTAAAACATTTGCTCTGCAAAAGACACTGTTAGGAGAATGAAAGGACAACCTATAAACTAGGAGAAAATATTTGCACATCACATATCTGGCAATGGACTTATATCCAGAATATATAAAGAACTCTCAAATCTCAACAATAAGAAAACAAATAATACAATTAAAAATGGGTAAAGATTTGAACAGATACTTTACCAAAGAAGATATACAGATGGAAAATAAGTACATGAAAGGAGGTTCATTATCATTAGTTATTAGAAAACTGCAAGTTAAAAACACAGTGAGATACCACAACATAACTACTAGAATGGCTAAAAAAGAAAATAACTGACCGTACCAAGAGCGCTAAGAATATGGAAGTAGTTGGAACTCTCATACGTTGCTGGTGGGAATGCAAAATAGTAGAGCCACTGTGCAAAACAATTTGGCAGTTTCTTATAAAGTTAAACATGTACTTACCATATGGCCCAGCCAAAAACCTATGTGAATGTGTATATGAATGTACGTGAATGTTTATAGCAGCTTTGTTTTTAATCACTAAAAACTAGAAACAACTCAAATGTCCTTTGCTGGTGAATGGATAAATACACTGTGGTACATCTGTAACGTGAAATAATATTCAGCGATAAAAAGAACGAACAATTGACATACACAACAACATGGATGAAATCCAAATGTTTAGTCTAAGTGACAGAAGTCAGACTCAAAAGGCTACTTAGTTTATGATTCCATTTACATGACTCTCTGGAAATGGTAAAACTATAGGGATGGAGAGCAGATGAATGGCTGCCAGGGGTTAGGGCTGGGGTGAGGGGTTGATTACAAAGTGGCAGCATGAGGAAATTTTGGGGGGTGATGGAACCATTCTGTATCTCTACTGTAGTGGTGGTTACATAACACCATGCCTTTGTCAAAACTCATACAACTACACACCAAAAGAGTGAATTTTACTGCATGCAAATTAATAAATGAAAGAGAGGCAGTTCCACCATAAAAATTTTTTCCTCTTATTAATCTTTACAGGGTGGAGAGGAAAAAAAAGTTTAAAAATTCTATATAAGAAAGGGAAAAGCAGGGGCCGGCCCCGTGGCACAAGCGGTTAAGCACGCGCGCTCTGCTTCGGCGGCAGCCTGGGGTTCGCAGGTTCGGATCCCAGGCGCACACCAACGCACCACTTGTCAGGCCATGCTGTGGTGGCATCCCGTATAAAATAGAGGGAGATGGGCACGGATGTTAGCTCAGGGCCAATCTTCCTCAGCAAAAAAAGAAAAAAAGAGGAGGATTGGCATCGGATGTTAGCTTAGGGCTGATCTTCCTCACGAAAAAAAAAAAGAAAGAGAAAAGCGGAATGATTTTGCTCATCAAACTCACAGGACACACTGAACATATAAACCTGACCTTAAAACAACTGTTCTGTGTTTTCGTAAATTCTGTATTTGTCTATTTGGCATCCTTTCATGACAGGGCCAATTATATTAACTATATTCTCTTATTTTCTGTATTCTTGATGCTCTAGCATTTGTGGCCTCACTGACTAGGGAGAGACTGTCCCTTCCAGGGCTGGAGCCAAAGAAAAGATTTAGAGATTAAAAAAAAAAAGGGAGCACATCTTTGATATGCAAACCAACCAATCCCAAACCCATATCCCTCAACTACTTTCTTATCTAACTGTCACACAGAAAGCCAATATTTCCCCTGCTCTAAACCATCCCAGGGTCGGGTATCAGGCAACTAGAGACCACCCTTATGCCCCCAAACCCACTGGAATTATTCAAGCCAGCCAACCCTAAACTGTTTACCCTGCCCTGATTTGCTTTTCCTGTGATAATCCCAATACAGGCTCTGGCCTAGGCTTTTCCCCTCCTGCTTCTGCTCCTGGTCAAAACCTGGTGCCTCCCCCGTGGCCCTGTGTGGTACACCCCCACTCCCGGACATGTGAGTATAATAAACTTCTTCCTTCTATGCCTTGTTCTTATTTCCTGCTGTGGCAGCATCAGCTTTACCATACCATATCCAACATGTACATTCTTAGAACAGCTGCTATAGATTAACAATGTTGTGGTTTTTCTTCCTTTTCAGTATACATTTATGTTCTTATCTATAGTTGCTTAAAGCTGTTCTTTCAAGGTGATGTCTGATTTTTTAATTATGAAAGAAGCATTTCCTATATTCTGCTACGAACTCCATTTTTAGAAACCAATTTGCATAGCCTCCTTAGGGATCTTTGCAAGACTGCCTTAGCCACTTCATAACACTTTTGTGAGGCAGCTATGAGTACAGATGTTCCAGAATAGATAAGTACCAGCAATAGGCACTCAGAAACCCTTTGCTATATCAAAGCAGCCCTCTCCTTGGGGGAAGGCTCAGCAAGCCTAAGTGACTTCACTACAATTACATCCTTGGTCCACCTGATTCTTATGAGTCATGCAAAATAAACTCCTTTTCCCCTGAACCTGTGAAAATATAACTATTATCTAACTAGAAATGAGCAGGGAGATGTTATAAGAGAGGACAAGAAGCTACAAAGTAAAGTGCTAACATCACAAAGATGTTTTTAAAACAAAGTAAAGAAGACAAACCAACAGTTTGAATCATCATTTAAAAGGCAAAATATAGGGGCTGGCCCCGTGGCATAGTGGTTTCACGTGTTCCGCTTCAGTGTTCCCCCCCCC